TATTGAAATCTGAGTCACTCAATGGTATTCGAAAGCCTTTTTTTCCTCACTGACACAGCCAGTCCATTTGGTTTCAAGCAAAGATGGACAAAATGACGAGCAGCAGGCTTGCCTTTTGGCTTCCTCTGGAGACCTGCATCGGTCCGTAGCTCCCGTCAGCCTGGCCCAGCTCTGGAGTGTAACCTCATCATTAGCGGGCACACGAGTGGGGGTGGGGGTGGGGGGAGAAGAGGCAAAAAACTCATTTTAGATTAATTTACGGGAAGATTATGATGTGAGTTTGACCTTTAAATGTCACCCTTTGTTCATCCTTCATGTTCAGCGTCCTGCCGTCATCGTCACTCTCATGCATCCTCCGTGTGCTCCCTGTTGTGTTCACTGGCCTGCCTGCTCTCTTAGAGTTCGTCTCCCCGACCAGGCCTGGCTTCCTAGTGGGAACGCAAGTGTTAGGTTCTGACAGAATTTTTTAACAGTCAATAGGCACAATAGGGCAAGAAAGGCATACAGATTAGCAAGGAAGAAATCAAACTGTCCCTACCTAGAGGTGACGTTATGATCTATGTAGAAAGCCCCCAAAGTCTTTTTCTGGGCTTTTTATTGGGGTTTGAACTCAGAATCTAACACATGCCAGGCAAACCCTTTACCACTGAGCTACATTCTCAGCCCTTTGCTTATTTTATGTTTTGAGACAGGGCCTCACTGAGGTTCCCAGAATCTACAGTCGTCCTGCCTCAGCCTTATGAGTAGCTGGGATTATAGGCCCGTACCAGCACACCTAGCCCAAAGAATCTAAAATAAAATAAAATGAAATGAAATAAAATAAAATAAAATAAAATAAAATAAAAAATACCCTTCTACATCTGAGTTTAGCAAAGTTTCAGGGTATAAGATTTAAATTTAGTTAAAAATCTTGTACATTCATACAAAAATCAGTTATTTTCCTATATACTAGCAACTTTTGGAAAGAAAAATTCAAAATGCTATATTACTTACCTTGCTCAAAAAATGAAATACTTAAGTATAAATTCACCAGACCACATAAAGAATACAAACTACACTGATTATAGGAGTCAGACAGAATCTAAGTAAGTGCAGAGGGATGTGACAATCAGGAGTTAAAGGCACAGCACTGTATGAAGATGTCAGTTCCGATCCGGTGTAGTTGTACACACCTGTCATCCCAGCACTCTGGGAGGCTGAGGCAGAAGGATTTTGTACTTGGGGTATTTATTTCTATTGCACCTTGCCTTTGTAATTTATTGTTGGCAATCTCTAAAGACACTAGTCAAATCACTTGGTATTTATTTTTCATGGTAAATAAAATTTTTATTGTGGTACAATATGCATGACATAAAATGTATGATTTTAACCACTTAAAGTGTACAGTTTGGTAAACAGAATTTTACTGTGTGCATATGTCTTTATAGCTTCCTATTTACAAAGTGCATGGGTCTCTATAGTTAGGATTATGGCTCTGAAGCATTTCAGTTAACTGGGTGTGAGCTGAGGAAAGCTTGTGTGGTAAACCCGTTCCTGCTGCGCCCTGTGATTCCTGCTGCCCAGTCAGCCGCATGTCCTCAGGCCTCACGTTCAAGCCCTCTGCTGAGCCCTGAGCAGGGACACAGGACTCCCCAGGCTAACTCAGATCCCTGCAGTGCCTCTGCCATCCTCCCTTCTCCACGTGCCCTGCACCTGCTTCCAGCTCCTCCCTCGTCCCACTCTTCCAGTGGAACTGATTTTTAGATGACAGCTTAGAGGATTAGGGGAACCTGTGACAGGTCGTGGTGAGAAGTGTGGCCTTCCCTTTGGAGACGACCAGCTAACTTGACCTGCTCCACCTTCACCATCTGGAAGGTAGTCTGCCCTGTGACATGCCAGCAGAGCGGTGCCCGCTGGAGAAGCCACCAGTGAGGAGCAGGAGGGAGGGCAGCCTAGGCGGCTGCTCTGCTCATTTCTAATGCAGGAACTTTCTGTGGAGTATCTGTAAGCTTTGTTGTCATATTTTAGTGACTCAATTTTTGTTACAGATTCATTGTACATTATCTGTAAATTTTAAAGTATGTTCCAAGTAATTCATTCTGGCATCGCAGTGTAATTGATCTCTTTTGCTATAGTGCTGGGACTGAGCCCAGGACCTCATGCATGTCAGGCATGCCCTCTACCACTGAGCTACACCCCAGCCTCAACATTTTTTATCATATCACGAGCTTGATGACTTTATCTTGGTGTCCTTTTTCTCTACTTCAGTGAAGTATTTATTTTTTTTATTTATTTGGTACCAGGAATCAAACTCAGCACCTTGTGCTTGCCAGGCAGGTGCTTGTGCCACTGAATTATATCCCCAGCCCATAAGTATTTATTTTAAAAGATTTTTGAATGAATGCTTTTATTAACTTTTGAAAAAACAAGCTTAGTACCGCCATACCTCTGCCAGACAGTTGCTTTGCTGTTTAAACGTTTTAAAGGGATGGATTTTTAAAGAGAATATATTTCTTCTGTAACTAAATGAAATCATGTGTAAAAGTGAACAGTTAGGAGCGAATTATAGTGAGAACATACACTTGGTGCCAAAAGTTAACTTTTTTGATATTGTTTTTTGAGGCAGGGTCTCCCCATGTAGCCCAGGCTGGCCTCTAACTTGCAGCAATCCTCTTATCTCAGCCTCCTAAGTGTGGGACTACAGGCATCCCCCCCACTCCCTACCCTGCTCCTGAACCATGTCTATTTTTTAAAAACAGTAGAGAAGCTGAGTTTTATGATACTACATGTTTTATTAATACATAGCTATCCATTATCTAAGAACCTAAATTAAAGTATGTGTGTCACTTGTCCAGCTTTAGCCAGTAGCATACTTTAAATCAGTACTCAAACATCACTGAATTCAAAAAGAACTTTCTAAGGTTGTGTATATAGAACAGTATTTCTCCCAGAGAATTCCAAGAGAATGCTACCGCTCAGGAGATAGAGATTGCACCAAAAAGGGTTTCACAGTTTCAGTCTGAAGAACGTTTTGTTTAACAGGTTGTTACAAGTACCTTTATTGAAGCCGGGCCTGGTGACACACGCCTGTAATCCCAGCCTCAGGAGGCAGAGGCAGGGGGATCGTTGTGAGGTCAAGGCCAGCTTGGGCTACAAAGTGAGCTCAAGGTCAGCCTGAACTGCATAGGAAGACCTTGTCTCAAAAAGACCAAAAAAAAAGTGCCTTTATTCAGAGCTTCCATAGCCCTTGGCATTTTACATTCCTACCAGCAATGGGCAAGAGCCCATCTAGCCAAGCCACATGCCACACAGCAAACCTAACTGACTGCAGAATCTTGTTTTTATGAATTGGACTCCACAGAACATTTTCAGGTCAACTCTAAAATTTTTGGACAATTGTTGACTACTCTGACACTGTCTGGAAAGGGGAGTGGTCTTTGTTGTTTTGGTTTTTTTCTTTTGTTGTGGTGGTAATGTGAGTAGTAGGTGTGGTCCTATGGATCAAATCTCACGCCTTACACATGCAAGGCAGCTGTCTACCACTGAGTTACACTACCACTCCCTTGTTATTTTTTCTATGTTGTACAGAGAAGTGAATCTTTTTGCACTCATCTTTTATCATTCTCTAAATTGTTGTCTTTTTTATAGAGTAACTGTGGGATTAAAGTCTTAATTTAAACTTGACAACTGTTTTTGCAAAAACAGAATAAAGGTTTATGGCTTTAACAATAATAATAGTAATAACCGCAGCAACATCACAAGGCTGATGCATCAAGCACCGAGTGTGAGAATAGGAACCCTTGTAGGGGGCATTATGCTCATTTTCCTACCTGAGATAACAAACAGCTGAGTACTGATTACTTTCAGTTTTACAGAAAGGAAGATACAGGGGCTAGGAATTAAGTGTCTTTCTTAAGATCTCACAGTGTATAAAGGTAGAAACCTATACAGTTCTCCCTCCTTATTAACAAGGGGTTTGAGTAAAAGTCAGAACTTTCTTTGCCTTAGACACACAGGCAGATCTAAGGGAAAAACCAGATAAGTGAAATCATATACTGTTTGTGCTTCTTTGGTTCAGCTATATTTCTGTTTTAGGTAATTTTCATTACTATTTAAATAAATACGTTTCTTATAAACATCATCCCTGACTTACAATGGTTTAACTTAATATTTTTTGACATTTGCCGGTGCAAAAGCCATGTGCATTCAGTAGAAACTATACTCCAAATTCTGATCTTTTTGAAGACCACAGATCAGCAGTGTGATGCTGATCCCAGCACTGAGGAGGCTGAGGCAGTTGGGTTGAGAGTTCAAGGCCAGCCTGGACAATTTAGTGAGACCCTGTCTGAAACACATAAACAAACAAAAAAAGACTGCAGACAGCATGTGATCGCAAGAGGAAACAGCTGGTACTTTGTAGTATACTGTGCTGCTAAGCTATGTTGTTCAGTGTTTGGTAGGTTGCCATATTAAATGCATTTTAAACATACAGTGTTTTCAGTTTGCAATGGGTTTATCAGGACATAATCCCATTGTATGTACCTTGAGGTACATCTGCTTGTCTGTTTTGGAAAAAATACAATAGATACATAACCCAGAAAAAAAGTAAATATATCACCTCCAAGTCCTCCTCAGATAACCTCTAAAAATAGTTTTATGTCTGCTTCTCCTTTGGCTTATTATATGTAAGTGCACAGGTCTGCACACACACACACAAAGGTGTTTTAATTTGTTGCCTGCTTTTCACCGTATTCCTGTGTTCCTAAGTACATTTTCTACATAACCGTTTTGGTGATTGGATGATATTTCATTGTGCAGATGTATCATAATTTAATAAACTATGTTTCCTAGGTTTGCGCGTGTCTGGGTGCCTTCTGTCTTCCGCATCTGAATCGTCAGCTATCTTGAATTGTGGATTCCTAGCCTTGGGTCTGTTAAGCATTCAGCCAGCTCACTGAGTGGGCACTTGGTGGGCAGTATGAGGTAGCGAATACCTTTGACAGTATCTTTTCTTGTCCTAGGACACCAGGGCTATTCAGCCTGCTTGACACTCTGTGGCCCCCAGTGATGCCTCTTAAAGTCTCTGGCCACAGCCAGCCCTGCAGAGAGGTAAGCCCAGCACTGACGAGCTCCCTGGCCGAGTGCTGCCTCGTGCTGGAGCCACACCAGTGCCCGTACACTCCATGTCCCTACAGGGGCAACAAAGACCCACTGCAGCTCATTCCTTTCTCTGTAGTAGCATCTGAGTATGAGCCAGGACTGGGTTTGGGGTCTCCTAGTCTCACCTCAGAGCCCAGACCCTCGCCCCTTCCTCTGCTGGGCAGCATATCATGTTCGTCGGGTTACTTTATAGTTTTTTTGTTTTAGTTGTTGTTTGTTGTTTTGGTGGTGCTGGGGATTGAACCCAGGGCCTTTGCACTGATCTACACTGCCAGCCCTCTTTTTTGTTTTGGTTTTTAATTTTATTCAGAGACAAGGTCTTGCTAAATTGCCCAGGCTGGCCTCGAACTTGCAACCCTCCCTCAGCCTCCAGAGCTGCTAAAATGACACGTGTGTGCCACCATACCTGGCTTTATGATGAATTTTAAACTACTGTTGCAAACACCTCTGCAACAGTCAGGACCTTAGTCTCATACCAAACCAGACATGGTGTTTTTCCCACCCCCTTCCAATCTCATAAAATCAATACTGAATTACCAGTGATCAGTTACCAGTGAGCCGAACAGAGTAGCCAGGAATTTTCATTTTCCTGCCAATTCAAATTGTTTACCACAGGGGCTCACAGGCAGCAAAACATTAAAAGGTGTTTCCTTCTCCCCATCTCAGGCCTTGTCCAGCAGGCTGGTGAGTGGTTGCTTGGGAAGCTACAGTCATAGCTCCTAAAGCTGAAAGTAAGAGGCTGCCTTCTCTGTGTAGCAGAATTTTTAGTGAGTGTATGTATGATCCTGTCCTCTGGCAGAGAGCAGAGCACTTATCAAAAATGCCCATTTTAAGAAGTAATTTCTATATATTTTCAATATACTCTGAAGAATGGATTTCTAAAATGCAATTAATTTTTTAGACTGGGGATTAAACCCCAGGGCTTCACACATGCTAGGCAAGTGCTCTACTACTAAGTTACATCCCAGCCCCTTTTAATGTCATTTATTTATTTATTTTTATTTTGAGACAGGATGCACTAAGTTTCCCAGGCTGGGCTTGAGCTTGGAATTCTCCTTCCTCAGCCTTTTGAGTATCTGGGATGATAAGGCGTGCACCGCTGTGCCCAGTTTGAAATACTAAGTTGGTAATAAATTCAAAAGTACAGAATTTCTTATGCTTGGTCCCAGAAGTAAACAACCTCATCTGTGTCCTGCATGGCCTTCCAGAGAAAACATGTGTCTATAAACAATGCATATATGAAGAACAGATTTTGATAGTATATTTGAGACTTTCACAACATAATCACCTTCTGCCTTTGCTTTCAATTTAAACAGGTGGAAACACCTCTTCCTCCTCCTGCCTTCTGTTACATCTTCTCAGCTCGTCCTAGTCTGGAACATATTGATATCATTGAAGAAGACTCCGTTTCTAAGCTTTATCAGCCTCCAGTTCTCCACTACTTAGGAGAAATTCTCCAGGTGACATCTTTCTTTCTAACAAGTTCTTCAAGTAGCTCTGCCATGACGATGTGCTTTCAGGTTACCAATCATTCTCAATGTCTTTCCAGACTGACCATCTGGGTGCCCGGTGCAGTTTCTATGCGAGGGTGATTTATCAAAGACCACAGGTAATCCACCCTCCTGCCCTCCCTCTTCCCCTAGTTTAAAAGTGGAGTGCCAAAGGAGGCTTACAAGATTGAGCGCAGCATGGGCAACTTAGGAAATTAATGAGACCTTGTCTCAAAAATAAAAAATAAAAAGGACTGGGGATATAGCTCAGTGCAAAAGCCCTGGGTTCAATCCCCAGTACCACTGCAAAAAAAGAAAAAAGAAAAGAGTGCAAAATAGAAAAGCATTTATAAAATCTAGGTAAGCATGACCACGCTGATGCCCTAGTACATTCATGCCAGTATGGGTGTGGACTGCCAGCCATTGTGCTAAGTACTGAGATATAAAATAACCCAGAGATAACTCTGCCCTCCAAGATTCTTGGCACCTTAATATTTGATCTTTTCAGCTGCGAATGTAGCTCAGCCGCACAGTCCTACCTGGCAAGCGCAAGGCCCTGAGTTCAATTTCCAGTACCCTAAGAAAAAAATTGATCTTTTCTGACAGGCAGGTTGAAGGAAAGAAAGAAGCTGGGACGTCATTTATGTAGGAAAAACGGAAGCCTCGGGATTGGGCACAGTCACTTCAGGGCACTCTGAGAGCTTCCTGGAGTCACTGGGAGGCCTTGGGCAGCTCTAGGAAGTAGCAGCATGGCATAGATGAGCTTGCTGTTGGGTCAGCTGGAAGTAGACAAAGGGAAGAGACATCCTTGGCAATCTGAAAATGTGGATTAGGTTCTGTGGGACCTCAGCTCCTGAAGGAGTAGCACATAAATGTCCTTACCTGAGAGGGACAGGTAAGTGCCCGGTTCTGGGAGTTAAACCCAGGGCCTTTAAACTGAGCTACATCCCCAGCACTTTTTTAGTGTTTAATTTGAGGCAAGGGCTCACAAACTTGCCCAGGCTAAGTTCAAACTTACAGTCCTCCTGCCTCAGCCTCTGATCTGCTGGAATTACAAGTATTTGCCACTGTTTGTTAAGCCCTCATGTACTCGTGGTTGATGTACGCTGGTCTGCTGCAGGGCAGATGAGACTGGGAGCCCTCTAAGCAGTGCCTCTAGGACGTGTGAGGGAAGCAGACAAGGCCTAGGGTACCTGCTCCTTAGCAGGCTGCTGCAGTCTCACCTGTGGCCGGGCAGGTGAGAACAGCAGGAAACTGCCCATCCGGGAAGCTGGAGCCCAGGCAGGGGGCCTGGCCAGGGCCACCCAAGCACCCAGCACGACCGGACATAGGCGCTGTGTTGGGTAGCCCCAGGGACTCTTTTTAAACAAACCTATACCTGGTTATCAAGACGAAACATCTATTCCCCTGGCCTTTCTTATTGTTGCTGAAGTACCCTAACACAATTTCTCTCACACACACTTAATATGAAGCTCTAAAACATTCATGTGCTTTGTGTACAGCCACAGTTCAGCTACCTGGTTTGGGAGCCTTTCTTTGGTGTATAAGTATCCTGAGTTATTTTTTCTTTTTCTTTCCTTTGTTCCTTCAGTGCGCACACACATGCGTGTGCGTGTGCGTGTGTGTGTGTGTGTGTGTGTGTGTGTGGTATTACTGAGGATTGAACCCAGGGCCTTCACACCGAGTTACATCCCCAACACTTATAACATTTTTTTGGAGCCAGTGTGTGTGTGTGTGTGTGGTATTACTGAGGATTGAACCCAGGGCCTTCACACCGAGTTACATCCCCAACACTTATAACATTTTTTTGGAGCCAGAGTCTTGCTGTGTTGCCCATTTGTGCAGGTTGGGCTCAGATTTGTGCCTCAGTCTCCCAGAGTGCATACCATACCTCGCCAAATTTATTCAGAGTTGGGCATCTCTATTTTGAACATTTATTTTACTTTTATCTAATCATCCATAGACAGTGAAAGAGATACAAGATGACTAAAAGAATATACCTAACTTCTGATTGAATTACTGATAAGTTGCAAATATATAAATACTACTAAAATTCTGTTATTGCAAGTGTGATCCTCATCTGTATCAGGAATGGGCAAACTGCTCCTTTAAAGGGCCAGGCAGTCAATATTTTAGGCTTCTCAGGGAATATTATTTCTGTAGCCGCTATTAAACTCTACCTTGCTGTGCAAAAGCAGCCATATTGTCTCTCATAAATGGATAAGCAGGACTCTGTTTCAAAACCATTTATTTATAGACACTAAAATTTGAATTTCATATACTGTTCATGTGTTACAAAATATTCTCGTGATTTCTCTCAGCCATTTAGACTGTAAAAGCCTTAAGTAAGTGTAAAGGCCGTGCTTAGTTTGTAGGCCACACATAGTTGGGTAGCAGGCCAGATCGCTACAGGTTGTGGTTTCCTGACCCCCAGGTCTGTGAGTTGTTCATGGGTCGCCTTTGAGCTGTCCCAGTGCCAAGCTCAGCAGGCAGGATGGCAGGGCCAGTGAAGATGGGGACTGGGCACAGGATGTGTCCTATTTTCAAATCTGAGGCAAACTGGAGGCTGACTTCATGTTCCTCTGCACATCTGCAGAATGCTCAGTGTGTGAAGACACGCTCAGCATCAAGCACATTCCTGTTACTCCCAAGCACATTCCAGGCTTCAAGGCGAGGCACGTTCAGGAGCAGGCTCCACTTACTCTGCACATAGAACGTGGTCTTCAGAGACTTGAGCAGCACTTGCTTCTGCCTGCAGCCCTCAGCTGAGACCAGAGGCTGAGAGTAAGAAAAGCTGTGTCTCATGCTCAGCTTGATTCTCGGTGCAGGGAAGCACAGGGCAAATGAAGACAGGCCTTGAGGCGTCCACCTCATTGGATGGAGGAGCCCCGCCTCGGGGGGCTCGGGAGTGTGCTCTGATCCCCCCATATGAGAGATGGGCTCCCACCATGCAGGTGCGGTGGGCGTGTGTAGCTGGGAGTTGGTGGTTCTGTGGTCAGGAACTAGTCAAGGACCAGAACCCAAAGGAATAGATTCCTTAATCCACTGAAATTCTGTTTATAGCCTGCATTCTGCTTTTGTGGGAAACAGAATCACCAGAAACCAGCCTCCTCAGGAGGAAGCGAAACAAGCTGAGTCCCGGGTCAGCCTGTGGCTAGGCCGATTGCCTGCACGCTCTGCAGGGAGGACTGACTTTTAGGATGGCACTGTGAGTCACTGCCGGAACCTGAGTCACCAGAGAAGATCTGGGTGTATTTCCATTACGCTGGTGGTTTTTTTTTTGTTTTGTTTTGTTTTTTTGTTTTTCTCCGGTGCCAGACGCTGGTGGTTAAGTCATGAAAGTGAAAGAGATTTTTTCTTTTTTCTGAGATTATTTTAATTTACTTTTATGTTGAAGTAATTATAGGTTCACAGTAGTTTGCAGGAAATAAACAGGGATTACCCGTTAGCTTATCCACGCTACCACCCCACACCCACAGAAACCGCAGTACAAAACCAAGAAACTGATGCTGGTGCGGGCCATACAGCTGATGCAGGTTTCACCAGTTGTACATGTACTCTGTGTGTGTGTGTGTGTGTGTGTGTGTGTGTGTGTGTGTGTGTTTCTGTGGAGTTTGTCACACATATGATCATGAACACACTCTGTGTACCCTGCTGTCACCACAGATCCTCTTGAAGTCCCCTCTTTGGCCACATCTATTCCTTTCCCTGTCCCTGACCCTGGCAACCACTGTGTTCTGCATCTGTGTCATTGTGTTATTTTATGATTGTTATGTGAATAGAACTATGCACTATGTATCTGCATCAATTTCGTAGAGCTTCCATGTAAAGTTCCCAAAACTAGATGGCTTTAAAAGCACACATTTATTTATTCTGTCTCACTTTCGGCCAGACATCTGAAATCACAGTGTTGAATCTGGGTGTGGTGGTGCACACCTGTAATCCCAGAACTCAGGAGGATGAGGCAGGAGGATCACTCCAAGTTTTGAGTTTGAGTCCAGCCTGGGCTACAAAGTGAACTCAAGGCCAGTCTGAACTGCATAGTGAAAACCTGTCTCAAAAACACACACAAAAAAAATTTTTTTTAGTTTTCTGAAGAATCTTCACGTTGTTCCATAGTGATTATACCAGTCTATGTCCCACCAACAATGTAGAAGGCCTCCTTTTTTGCCAAGACCTCATAAGCGTTTGTTTCTGAGTTCTTAATAATGGCCCTTCTTTCTGGAGTAAGATGAAATCTCAGAGTTGTTTTGATTTGTATTTCTCTAGTGGCCAAAGATAGTGAATCTTGTTTTTTAAAATGTACTTATTGGCCGTTTGTACTTTCCAGAAATTGTATTGGCCATTTGTACTGTTCATTTCAATTGCTCAGTTTTTATTAGATCTTTTATTGGGGGGCATAATTTTTTTAGTTTTTTATCTAGATATTACTGCTTTCTCCAAGATGTAGCTGGCAAGATTTTTTTCCAGTTCTGTAGGTTTTCTCTTCACTCTTGGTTGTTTCCTATGCTGGACCAGAGCTTATGTTGAGTCTTGGCGTTATTTCTTACCCACTTAAGGGTTCTGTTCAGAGAGATTTTGCCCATGCCTGTGTCTTCAGGAGTTTTACCTGCTTTACCTTGCAGCAGATTTGAGTGTTTCTGTTTTAATATCTAGGCCAGTGATCCACTGGGATTGATGGGAGAGGTAAAGGTCTAGATTCACCTTCTGCATGCAGATGATCAGCTTTCCCAGTACCGTTTGTTAAAGAGGTGATCTGTTCTCCAGATTTATGTTTTTGGCCCCTCTATCAAAGATCAGTGGCTGAATGTGCCTAGAGTAGTTTCTGCATCTTCAGTTCTGTTCCCTTGATCCACGTGTCTGTTTTTGTGCCAGTACCATGCTATTTTTATCACTGTAGCTTTGTCATAGTACTTAAAATGCAGGCTTGTGAAGCCTCCTGCTTTGCTCTGGTTGCCCAGGGTTGCTTTTGCTATTCTGGGTGTCTTCTGATTACATATATCTTATAGGATTTTTTTCTAGTTCTATGAAGAATGCTTTTGGTATTTTGATTGATATTACATTAAATCTATATGTCATTTTTGGTAATATGGCTATTTTAATAATATTAGTTCTGCCTGTTCAGGAATAGGGGATGAATCCATTTTCTGATGTCCTCTTCTATCTCTTTTTTCAGAGTACTACAGTTTTCATTATAGAGGTCTTTCTTTCTTTTTTTGGTATTTCATTTTTTCAAAGCTATTAAAAACAGGACTGTTTTCATAGTTTCCCTCTCAGTGGACTCCCTGTTGATGTACAGGGTGTCACTGGCTTTGTGTGCTGATTTTCCATCTTGCTGCGTTGCTGAAGTTATTTATTAGTTGTAGGGGTCTTTTGGTGTAATTTTTGAGTGGTCTAGGATCATGTCGTCTGCAAATAAAGATAGATGACGTCCTCCTTTCCTCCCTATATACCTTTTATGTCTTTCTCTTGCCTGGTTTCTGTGGCTGAAGTTTGGAGTACTATATTGACAAGAATGGTAAGGGTGAACTCCCTTGCCTTATTCCTGATAAAGTCATAATTCCATGCCAGTGCCTCCAACACAGACCATTGCCACAGAATTTACTCGACTTTCCCCACTTGCATATGTATAACTCCCTGTCTCACAGTGAAAAACCTGGCTCCATTTTCTTTAGAATTACTGACTCCAACATCCCAACCACACAGGGTCGCTTCACCCCCGCCCACAGCTCCCTACCATGCAGTTTATCTTCTCTGCCCAGTCCTGTTAACCAGCCATGTAGAATCCTCAGCCTGACCCTCCCATCTGTGCCGGCATTTCCATTGGACCTCAGCTAGCAAAACACTCAAACGCCCCACCCAACTGGCTGTCCTTGGCCCATTTAAATCTACTGAATCCTGAGCCCTGATCTAAGACAGAGGGAGAATCCCAGTTTAATTGAACTTGTAAAAGCATTACAACTTTTATAGATAAGGGAAAAAATAAAAGGATTATAGTAAAAGAAAAGAAGAAAGACAAAGAGGAGAAAAACAAAAGCTGTTGTAGATACAACAAACGTGTGTCACCTGCTCTATACCAAGGCCTTGTACAAAGTCTGAGGGTGACTGAGATCTGTTTCTAACCCTCTGGAAACTTGCAGCTACCCAGAGAGAAAATGCAGGTACACAAGAGAGGAGATAACATTGTAAGCATACAAACGTCAGATCAGTGGGAAAGAACAGGAATGCTACCTGAACAGGCCCGAGGAGAGCACTGCCACCAAAAGGCGGGCTGTGTCCAGGAAGGACCCCTTCAACAAGTGCAGGGCCGGGCACAGCCATGTTAGTGACCAAGACGTGCAAACTCTACTATGTATCTGAAGTATTTTCAAAATAATATCTTAAATTGTTGATGTTAGTCTCCTAAGGTTATTGTTTTTTAAAATCAGTGTTGAATGTAAGAATAGTTAGTAGCCTTTACTTTTAAATTGCAGCTGAAGAGTCTGCTTCTTTTGGAGCAAAGGGAGATATGGCTGCTTGTGACCGACATCAGCCTGCAAACGAAGACTCGGAGCGGCCCCCACCTGCCCAAGACCCTGCCAGTCTGTGTGGCCCCCTCGTGTGTGCTGTGCCCGGAAGTTCTGCAGGCGCTCACCGTGGCTGCGCCTCACAGCGTCTTCTTCAGAGATGCTGTCAGAGACCACGGTGTGCTGGCCTCCTCTCAGGAGCTTTGGTTGGGGCGAATGGTGCCCACGCAGCGGCCCTGGGAGCTTCCAGATGCCTCCATTTTGCTCAGCACTGCTGATACCTTCACAAAGCCCAGTGCAGAGCCAGCCTACCGGGTGGAGGGGTCCATGTTACCTGGGCCTTGGGCTTCTGCTCACCCTGTCACGGCACCTGGTCAGGGCCGGCATCTGCGCGATGCTGGCAGGCCTGTGGACACACCGCCGGGTACTCCGGGGTTCTCGTTGGCAGCACCCCGTGCCGGTGCAAAAACTACCTAAAGCCGTGGCCTGGGCGGCCCCTTTTAAAAAACAAACCAAAAACCAGAACATTTTGAATGTATAGGCTTTAAGTCAGCGTCCTTCTTTTTAGGGATCAAACTAAAGTCTTACCTGTTATTTTTTATATGTTATTAAGATAAAATTTGCATACTCTAACCCATTGCCTTTCAAACTGAATTTGAATCCCATATTGGTGCACTTTCCCGTCCCAGCCCCCTGGGGCCTGGGGCTGTACTTCCGCACATGCGTCGCACTGCGTGTGGCCTGGCTTTCGGAGCAGGCAGCCCCACACACTCACCTTCTCACCTACATGGCTTGAGGGGAGGCTGGTAAAGGAGGATGTCTTTACTGGCAGAACTCACACTTTTCTTCAGGGCTTCACTAATCTGAACTGTCTCTTTTGGCAGGCCAGATTATTTGTGTTGAACGGACTGTCCTCTTGCTTCAAAAGCCCCTTTTGTGTGTGGCCTCTGGTGCTGATTCCTGTGAGCTGACTGGCCCAGTGGAACTGGATGAACTGGACTCCCTCACCCCTGTCAACTCCATTTGTAGTGTACAAGGTGGGCAGCCATCTCTTCGGAAATGGCGTCTGTGTTGTCTTAAATAGTGTGCTACTGTGTATGCATTTACTCAACAAGGTTTTGTTGATTGTCTCTATGTACCAGACATGGAGTAACAAGAACAGAATGGGAAGAGGTTCTTGCCTCTTGGATTTAGAGTCTGTATAGAAAGATGTGTGTCTTAATCACATTCCTTCTTGCTGGAACAAAATATCTAACACCCACAATTTAAAGGAGGAAAGGTACCGGAGAAAAACCAAAAAAATAAAATAAAATAAAATAAAAATAAAGGAGGAAAGGTTTATTGTAGCTCATATGTTGTAGAGATCTCAACCCACAGTCTGCTGGCTCCAAGGCAGGACAGGATGACAGAGGGGCGTGGTAGAGGAAAAGCTGCTCCCCTCGTGGTGGCTGGGAAGTAGAAAAGGGAGGAGCCACGAGGGAGAGAGGTCCTCCAGGCCATACCCCCAGTGACACACCGTTTCTGACCAGGCCCTGCCTTCAGCACCAAGCCCCCTGTAGTTGGCCATAATCCAGTCACCTTCCACAAGACCCTGCTTCTGAGCACACGAGGCTTTGGCGGGACATCTAGATCTAAGCTGTAAATTGTGCAAGTCAGATAAGGGCACAAAAAATGGCAGGACAGCAGCATTTCCAGTGTTTCAGCTATTAATAGGGCCCTCACCATGTCTGGGAGACCAAAGGCGGCTTCCTGAAGGCAGGACACTGGAGCTGAGATCTACGGAGTGGAGCACATTATATCAGGGGCTGGGGAGGGAGCAGGAGTTGCAGAGGCGACTGAGAGGAGAGCTGGTGAGCAAAGGTGGACAGCGTAGGCAGCTGTGGAGAAGTGAATGGCGAGGAGAAGCAGAAGGGCCAGCTGAGTCAGGAGTGTGCTCTGCCGTCTCCGGAGAGGGTGTGGGCTGACCCCATCCCTTCAGAGCAGATGGAGGGGCCGGCACAGTGATGGTAGCAACAGAGAAGTAAACGCAGGGGTGGATTTATTCAGGAAGGAAACTGGTGGCTTGGGTGATGAACAGGGCCAAGAAGGAACAGGGCACAGACAAAGGGCGAGGACATGCGGCCACCTCCACGTCTGGCCCAGGCAAGGAGATGAGGGTGCTGCTGTCGGTATTGCTGAAGCAGGACACCATGGAGGCAGCTCTGAGAGGACCACCAAGTTCTGTTGGAGAGGTTGGGTATTCTTGTTACATCTGAGAAGATGCTTTGGTAGTTACTTGCATATATGAATCTGGAGCTGAAAATAACATTAATGCTTTCTTTTTTTACCCCCCTTTGTGACAGGGCCTCACTGTGTAGTTGAGGTTGGCCTTGAACTCATTATATAGCTTAAGCTGGCCTCAAATTCATGATCCTCCTGCCTCAGGCTCCTAAGTGCTAGGATTACAGGTGTGCAAAACCATACCTGGCTTCCTACATAATTTTTATAAAGTTTAAAAAAAAAAGCAAGCATTTCCAGGTGTGGTGGTACAAGGCTGTAATTCCAGCCCTCAGAAGGCTGAGGCAGGAGGATACAAGTTCCAGGACAGCCTAAACTACATGGCATGAATTCAAGTCCAGCTTGGGCTACATATTAAAACCCTATCTCAAAAAAATTTTTTAATTAAAACAGCTGTGCATGGTGGCACATGCCTATAATTTTAGCACTGGGGAGGCTGAGGCAGGAGGATCCCTATGAGTTTGAGGCCAGCCTGGGCTACATAGTGAGTTTGAGGCCAGTCTGAATTACATAGGGGGAGACCCAGTTAAAAGAAAAGGAGAGAAAGGAGGGCTAGTTACACATTATTCTGTCACTTCTGTCATTTAATGTTCTAGCCAAAGTCAGGCATTTTTCATATGCCTGTAATCCCAGCATTTGGGAGACTGAGGCAGAAGGATCACAATGACTTCAAGTTCAAGGCCAGCCTGGGCTACAAACGGAGTTCACAACCAACCTGAACTACATAGTGAAACCCTGTCTCAAGAAGACAACAAAACAAAACATGGTCTACCTGATGTCTGTTCAGGGGATGGAGATCTGTTGTACATTTTTCATAGTCAAATAATAGTTCCTCATGAACAAAGTTCCTCCAGTAATGGGTAACTAGGATGTTCCTGTATTACAGTTGTAGACAAGGCTATTTGGGGACATCATTCCCTGCTTGTTTCTATAAAGGAAGACTTCAGGAGATTAGGGTCATGTGTTTCTTTAAACAGTTTTATTGACATACAACTCATACACCCTACAATTCGGGAGAAATGTGGTAACACACAGTTCTGATCTTAGTTAGCTACTTGGGAGGCTAAGGCTGGAGGATCACAAAGTTAAGGCCATCCTTGACAACTTACTGGATCCTGTCTCAAAATAAAATTAAAAGATCTTGGGATGTAACTCAGCACTAGAGTTCATACGTAGCTTACGTGCGTCTCTGGGTTCAATTCCTGGTACCACAAAGGAAAAAAGAAAAAGTGTTTTCAGTATATTCACAGATGGTCCAGCCATCACTGCAGCCTAACACTGGAACAGAAGGAAAGCCCACACCGTCAGATACTCCCTGTCGCCCCCACCTCCCACACCCTGGTCTAGGAGACAACAGTATCTGTCTACTTCCTGTTCTGTGGATTTGCCTCTCCTGGCCTTTCCTATAGACAGAACCATGTAATATGTGGGTTTTCTTGATTGGCATCTTTGACTTGGCATAATGCTTTCAACATTCATCCATGATGTGATATTTTTTGGAATTTTATTCCTTTTATGGCAGAAAAATATTTCATTGTACGGACACACCACATTTTGTTTATTCTTTTATCAGCTGATGGACATCTAGGTTGTTTCCATTCTTTTAACTCTTAGCAAAGAGCTGGTCCTTATGTACAGGAATAGAGCTGCTGTGAATAATCATGGACAAGTTTTTGTTTGAATGCCTATTTTAAAGTCTAGGGAATGTATCCAAAAATGAAATTTCTGGGTCACATGGCAGCCCTGCATTTAATCATTCTGAAGATTGATGAAGTATTTTCCAGAATGGCTACATTATGGATTTGTATATCTTTAATAATAAAAATTATAGCTAAATTACTTTCTAGAACCAGGTGTGGTGGCGCACACCTGTAATCCCAGCACTCAGGAGGCTGAGGCAGGAGGATCGTTGCGAGTTCGAGGCCAGCCTGGGCTACAAAGTGAGCTCAAGGTCAGCCTGACCTGCATAGTGAGACCCTGTCTCAAAAAGACAAAAAAAAAAAAAAAAATACTTTCTAAACAGTGTATAAAACATCAAACTTCTAAAACAAACAAATGCCAAACTCGGGGTTCCATTTTCCCGGCTCTTGGCCAGCAGTAGTTTCTAAATTTTTTTTTTTTTTTTTGACAGGGTCTCACTGAGTTGCTGAGGCTGGTCTCAAATTGACAGTCCTCCAGCTTCAGCCTCCCAAGTAGCCTGGGAGTACAGTGTGTGCCACCACACTGAGCTCCTGATACTTTTTATAATTTTTCTGAACAGTTGTAATGACAAAATTTGTGATCCCTCTGTTTCCTGTTGCTTTCAATGAATCATGCCCTGCTTTGTGAGACTGAGTACTTGCTGGCTGTGGTGAGGCCACTTGGGTTTTCCGTTTTGCATTTCTCCCTTTGATATTGGTGCTGAAACTCAAATGTGGTCGTGAGTTGATGGGGCAAAGGATGGCTGTGGGGTGTAGAGGTCCTGGAGGCCGCTGATGCCACATAAAAGCCACAGATCACATGAGGCCTCCATTTCCCCATCTGTAAAATAGGGATATGAGAGTCAGTCATAAAGCATTAAGAATTAAATGAGATAGCACAGTCTAGTGGAGAAAATAAACAACTCAATACTTCTGCTATCAGGACCTAGGAAGGGAGGCACAGGCATCACAGTAGCCCTTGACTATCTGGATTTGTCAGACAGACTTGACACAGGCCTTCTAGGCAGGTGGAAGGGCACTTGGAAAATCCACAGAGGCGCTGGGGCAGTTGTAAAACCTCCACGTGCTGGGGTAGCGGTAGGGACAGTGAAGGGTGAGGTGGGGAGCCCCACGTGGACCAACCTGGGACCAAGTTTGTTCTGCCCTGTTCTGCTTTCCCCTGCTTTGCTCATGTGGTATGATCTTTTTTTTTTTTTGGTACTGGAAATCAAACTCAGGACCTCACCCTTGTGATCACATTTTTATATGAAGCAGTTCCAGAGCACAGTACATAGAGTACGGTGCAAAGCAGGGAGAGATGTTGGCAGGAAGGGGTAAGGAGGGCAGAGGGCTTTTGAGGTCAGGTGGAATAGGGCCATCAGCGAGCCAGCAAAAAGCTGCCCCTAGTGTGCAGCTGCTCGGCGCGCCTGAGCTGTGCAGTTGGGCACAGGGCGGATCCCTTGAGCGGATAGGCTGTGAGGATAGAGTTCATGGACACAGTCTGCAGTCCTCAGTGGACAAGCTATCCGGACTGAGGGCACCACAGAGAGGTACCGCCCAGGTCCGTGAGCCAACAGCGGAGCAGATCGGATCGCCCAGTGTAGACGCGCGCACCTCCCGAGTCCCTGTGTGCTGTGCATGTGTGCTGTGCATGTGCCATTAACCCTGGCCCCCAGCTGGGCTCTCTGCTCTGTTCAGTGTGTCTATATTCTCTTGCCAGAAGCACACTGTATTGATTACTGTCACTCCATTATATGTCTTCAACTTGGGTCGTGTAAGTCCTCCAGTTTTTGTTTTTCAATGTTATCTTGGCTATTCTAGCCTTTTGCCTTTCCATATAAACTGTAGGATCAGTTTGTTGATGTTGCACAAAATGGCTTTGCTGGGACTCTGACTGGAATTACACTGAGTCTGTAGATGACACTGGCCCAGGCTGACGACTTCACAATGCTTAGTGTTCTCCGCATCCGTGCTCGTGGACTAGCGGCGTGTTGTTGACACAGTGGCGCCGCGGTTCCCGAACTTGACTCTTTCCATGACTGGTCACACACTGAGTTGGACGAGAACCGAATCAAGTGCCA